TGTCCCCTGCCTGGCTGCTGCGTCACCTCATGGCCGGAGAGGAGAGGCCGCTTCCTTCCCCGTCCTAACTTATATAGCCCCTGTGACCTCATTCACCTGGGCCAGCGGAGGTCAGCCCCAGTTGGCTGTCAGCCAACCAATTTGAAATGCATCACCTGTTACCGGGCAGATCCCAGCTCCCCAGGTAGAAACCCCTTACCCAGGTAAGTGATGCAAGTCACGTAAGCAGAGGGAGCAGGTTTCCCCCTCCCTCAGGAATGCAGCCAGCTCCAGTTCCCTAAAGAGACAGGCTGAGGGTGTGGTCCCCTATGTGCTGGGCCCATCCTAATTGAATGGTCACAGCATACAGATTTAAATCAGTGTCACAGGACTGAGATTTTTGGGGAGAAACCAAGGTGGCTTTCTGCCACAGGGGCAGTCTGATCACTACTGCTCTCTAGCAAGACAACAATGCTGCAGACCAGGGAAATACCCTGAGGTGATGAGGACAGGCAGACTTTACCAATGAAAGGATTCCTACTTCAAAAATCAGCATCATTTTACTCTAATCCAGACTGAACTGAAGCCAATTGGCTTTTATTCAGGCCCTTGTTTCTCCCAGAGAATGGCCGAGCTAGGAAACTGCTCTGAACAAAGCCAGGAGAAGACAGGCACGAGCATGGTCTTCTTCACTAACACGTACCTTTGTCCTGTGGGAAATCTTCTGCCTTGCACAGCTCTTAGTGCTCTCTATTTAGACCAGGCAGCAGCTATGCAGTGGTACTAGGATTTCTATTGCAACAGTGCCTTTATCGGGAGAATCTGTCAGGCTCTGACTTCCCAGAGAGAAAGTGATTTATAGGAAAAGCTCTGCTCACTTCCTCAAAGCCCCAGTCACTATGAGGTAAAAGCACAAGTGCCAAGGAGGAAAAAAGCTGCTGCTGAGCTCAACTGGACAGCTCTTCTCCTTGCGCGAGCATATGGAAAACAGCATCTTTTCAACGTCACTTCTGACAAATTCCAAAGTTTAAGCAAAAGTTTCAAAAGGGGCCTGGAGAAATTCTTTGAGAACAGGTTTGTCAGTGGGTATTCAACATGGCAGTTGGGGGTGCAACCTCAATATCCTTAGGTCTCTGAATGCTGGAAGCCGAAGGGGGATAGAGGTAGGGGACAGATAAGTCTGGATACGTCCTAAATACTGTAATGCAAGAGTGATGTTGTAAATGTGACGGTCCAGCCCTGATGAAGGATGTCTTACATTCGAAACCTTGTGTAACTTTATCCCAACTACACAGTAGGTCCAAGAAAAGATATCACCCTAAGAAATCCTTGCCTTTATATACATACTCTTCCTTAGCACCCACTTTCTGCCACTGTGAGAGACTGGATAATGGGCTAGCTGGACCTGTGCTTAGACCCAGTCTGGCATCTCTGATATTCTTACATCAATGGGCAAAACCTCTTCATTTTGCAGAAAATCAGAAATCCAGAAACGGAACCTGAGGGAGGCAGTCTGAGCTGTCTCTCCCCCAGTTCAGCCCACCAAATTTTAAGTGTTAGCACACAGAATGATTTACCTAACAGCTAAAAAGAAAAGAAATAATGGTATGAGGAATGGGGGAAAAAAAACCCAGAGACTGCTGGTGTCTTGGAAGACTGGGCAGGTTCAGTGAAGACTCGAATCAAGGGGGGATCAACAGAGTTATCCACTTACCTTGGAAGCCTGTTGAACTTGTGCGTGACAATGGCAGACTTTCCATTGCACTTCTCACAGGAATACTCAATCTCCTCTGCCTATTTAAAACAAGGCAAATCAAAGACCAGACAATGAATCAAACAAGCAGATGGCTTCTGCAGTCCACTATGTTTCTCTGAAGAGAGTAGTCATCTTTAAGGCTTATTTATTAACTCTCATTTTATTTCAACAAGACACACCAGAAAACAAATGACATAGATTCATAGATAGATTCATAGATTAAGCGTCAGAAGGGACCTAGTAGATCTTCTAGCCCGACCCCCCGCCAGGGCGGGAGAACAACTAAAAACCCCAAAAAGAGAAACGGGACTCAAATGAGTCCAGCCAGGTAGGCATCCAGCCTCTTCTTAAAGACCCCCAGGGTAGGGGC